TAATTTCCTTTTTGTTTTTTAACTATTTTAATGGAGCTTATTAGTACTATTACACAGTAATAGCAAAATTAGTCTTTAGTGTTTTAATGTGTAGTTGGTAAAGATGTTGACTAGTAACTTTCTTTAAAAGAAAAGCTGAGATAAAATAACTTGTTAAAATGATGTAATACTGAGATTATTCATAAGCCTTCATTTACAAATGGGTGGATGATATCTTGTGTGTGCCTGTTATGAATGGCTTCTCATCTGCCTAACTTCTAATCATTACAGGTCGTTCAAGAGGTGACCGACGTGACAGATACTCTGCGGGCAAAAGAGGTGGATTTGGTTTTAGAGAAAGGGAAAACTTTGAAAGAACCTATGGTGCAGTGGGCAAGAGAGACTTCGGTGCAAAAACTCAGAATGGTGGCTATGGTGCTCAAGGTTTTGGTAACGGAAATGCATTTGGGAACAACTTTGGAGCAGCTGGCATGCAGGGTGGATTTAGGGCTGGCACCCCAGCTTATCAGAATGGCTATGACCAGCAGTATGGAAATAACATGGCAAACATGCACGGTGCAATGAACCAACAGCAGTACGCATATCCTGCAACTGGTGGTACGGCAATGATAGGCTATCCAATGCCAGCAAATTATACCCAATAACTTAGTATATTTAAGTGTCTTGTTTTTCATAATTGCTCTTTATATTGTGTGTTGACAGGATAGTTATTTAAAATCTTATGGAACATGCAGAAACGTCTGCAGTGCAGCAGTAACTATGGTGCACTTTTCCGCTATTTAAGTTGAATATTCTCTACATTCCTGAACGATTTTTAGTTTTTTGTACTAGAAAATGCAGACTGTGTTTTCACGAAGTAAATGTACAGTGATTTGAAATACGACAACTGGAGGCAATGCATGGCCTTCCAATAAAGATATTTGAAAACATAATTTGCTCATGTGTTTGAGAGACCTAAAGTTGTTTGTCACATTGGGTGAGCTTTCTGCTTGATGTACCACATCAGAGTCATAGCTGGTGGCACGAGGAACATATGCAAACTAATCTTGGGTTAAGAATTGCTCCATCTTGCACCACAAAAACAAAAGTGTTTCAAATGTATTGGGAAAGCTGTACTCTTCATGTAAAGAAAATGAGCTAAGAAGCCTATGCCTACTGTATATTTGAAGTGCATGCAATTCTATAGAGTACAAGTAGAAAATATTAATAGCCAGTTTTATTTGTACACCTATGGGAGAAGCAGCATCTGGAACCATCTGTTCCATCATGAGGCAAACTGACAAAAGTTGTGGCTGTGTTCAGACAATATCAAACTGGCTGCTTAGCATTTGACTTGAAATTCTGTCTTGATCATCTTCAAGGGCAAGTAATGATTAAATGGATTTTTAAAATTCCATCTTGGAATTGGAATGCGATTTGCTAGGTGTACATTTTAGTTAAAACGCATACATAGGAGCTTTCCTGAAACTGGCATGGCGATTGGCTGTAGTTCCATCTAGAGCAGGGAGTATGCATAATGTTTATGCCTTGAATACATTTAGGAATGGTTGGGGCACTACCAAAAAATGGGCAGCAAGGCAAAGGACAAAAAACCTGGCGAAACAACTGACTAGAAAGCCAAAGTAGGGTCTTAATCCTCAACACAACAAAATACTTGAAACACAAACTTTATTCCACAACAATCCTATCCTAATTTTAAAAAGGGAATGGTACAAGCAAGTAGGCAGGCAGCAAGAAAAATTTCCAGGGATGCATTGAAGGATGCCATCGTTTCCTGCCTCTGACTTAACAAAAAGATGGGTTGATGAGAATTCAGAACCTTGAGAATATAAACTAGGCATTAATTTCAGAATTAAGTTCGGACTAAAAGTTACTAAAATGCAAACTGCCCATATTTACTCCTTTAATTCCCTCCATTTTCTGTAGGTTGAGCTGTATAAATTGCTATATGCCTCTAAACGATCTTACACTATTGTTACATTCAGCAAGTCTAAATAACTGGTAGGACAGATAAAAGTCTCCTGCATAAGCTGTTCATGTACTTGGAAGAGTTCATAGGTACTAAAGTGTTATTTTTGTAAGTAGAAGGTGTAGGATCTTGTGGATACCCTTATTGAAACTATAATTTTGATCCAGCACCTCTGCTATCTTGGATTTTTGGTGCATTAAGTGCTCTGGAGTGTTTCAGATCACCCCAAATAGAATTATTCTTGTTCACTGGAAGTTGAACATGGCTAGCTTTCCCTTTGTAATAAGCTCAGTGGGTTTAATACTGCCCTATAAGCTCCAGCTAAAGGAAGTGGGTTATAACGATTTGGCAAAAGTTGCATGATGGAAACTTCCACTGGCCTACTGATGAGTCAGAATGACTGTGCCAAACCAGAAAATAATGGGTTGCACTGGCAAAGCCTTGCAGTTAAGGTAGTACTTCAGCTTCCTTAATTTGTAATAGGTTTAGAGGGTGCTAGGATATAAACATGGGAGCCTAGTTTTAAAAGCATTTGTTTAACAATTAGGCTATGAAAACAAAATGTACAGATGTATGTAGTGTTGGTGGAACTGGTTTCTGGAATGGAATTCACAAGCCTTAAACAGAACTTAATCTCTATGTTTTTCTGTGTTAAATTGTTAGCAAGGATACAAACTGGCCTAGATATTTGTATCATCAAAAAGTATATTCTGGCACTTACGTAGTAATCTAACTGCTGCAATCTTTTACTGGTTGTAAGGATAGGTACAATGGACAGGTGGCTATCTCCATACTGGAGATATTTCACTTCTATACCACTCAATAACTGAAGCTGTTGTGGATTTTTCTTTAGGTTCTATATTTGAAACCATAAACACTACAAACATTTCAAACCACATCTAAATGCAATGGAAAAGGCAAAATTACCATTGACACCTGCTGTTGCATTCTGTAATTCCTAGAAGGCAGAAACCCCAAGCCAAATCCAAATATGTTCACTATTTAATCAGTGTAAACAGGGTTTTTTAAAGTGAAAAAAAATATTTGCAGCTCTTGATCACCATTTATTTATACTATACATACATACAACTTATATGCCACCCCATTTGCATAAGCCTTCAGGGCGGCTTCCAATCAGTATTTCCTGTTAACTAGCCCAGATCTCTCCCAGCCACCTGTTCTTTTCTGACTTCCTAATACTAAATACAGTATGCTGTATTTCACACATTCTCAAAACTGAGTGACTGGCCCAAAGACACCCAGAGAGCTTCAAAACTGAGAAAGGGACTAGGACCAGTCAAAAACTAAATGCTGTGCAACAAATGATTAGAATCAGAAAATGACATTAGATGGTTCCATCTATTTTACATGCCTATACTGGCACCTTGGACACCTGCACAGTTTGACAAGATGTGGGCATTTCCATAACCAAAGCCACAACAGGAAATCAAACAATAGCCAGAGGCAACAAAACATGTTGGCCAGATTCTGTCCAATCCTGGTCTAAATTTCCTAAAGGAGTTGGGGCCTTCCCAGAAGTAACCAGTTTATGCTTATAGTACATAGATTTTGGTGAAGTCTTTGTGCTGCCAGGTAATGTCTGATAGCTAGGCAATCTATGGGAATAGGGAAGAATGCCACCTATCACCCACCAGATTTTGCTTTGAAGGAAACCAAGTCCACAAAAGTTTATGCTGCAATAAAGTTTTTTTAGGTGCCACAGATCTATGATTTTGCTACAACAGATTAAGACAGCCTTGAAAAGGTATCAGTAATCATCCAGCACTGTAAACTAGCACTGTAAACTAGTACAGAATTGAAACACATTGTTTTCCAAAGAACTAATTGGGCAGAGCAGGTAGATAACAGAAGGTGCAGGAGCCTCTTCTACCTTGACTTTACTGCTGCCTTTACTGCAGGATGATCAAATGCATTCAATCTGGCACCCTTGAATCCTTCCTATCCTCAAACTAAAGGCAACATCCATGTCCAAATCTTTTTAAGTGTTTTAACTGTCAGTAATAATACTGGACAGATAAACCATTCTGTATTGCAGGCGGCAAGATTGAAATATATAGGTTTTTGATTATGAGAATTACCACAAAAACATTTATATACCATCCTGCTTCCTCTTGCAAGGAACCCAAGGTGGCTTACAAGGTTATCTTTTCCATTTTATCTGCACAATATCCCAGTGAGGTAGGTCGGGCTGAGAGTCTGTGGCTGGCCTTGTCACCCAATTAGAAGCAATTTTTAAACATTAAGGTGATAGTGGAAGAACTCCACATTGTAAGTTGAGGTTGTTGTGATTGTATTGTCTGTGAGGGAGATTTGACGACAACGCTGCAGGGTGTGATGCAGAGGTATCTCTGGTCAAAAGACACCTCTCAGGTTACAATAAGCATTTTAAATTGCCCTCACTATTTCTCAAGACAGATTAGGCTCGGTCCCGTTGTTTTTTTTTTTTTTTTAGCACTGGCCTTTCAATTAACAATTATTCGGTAGACCCGTGTTTTTGAAATTTTCCAAAACGTTAAAGCTGTAAATTGCAAGCACTAATCAAGAGTAAACCCCACGGAACAAAGTGGATCATGTTTCTGAACAGACACGCCTAGGCTCTCACTATAACCAGCCAATCAGACAGAAAAAAATCCTACAACTTCCAGCATTCCCCAGCCGGTATCAATGGCGTTCCAGGACTTTCTTGTGCATGAACATACGATCGCGCGCTACCAGCCGCACGAAAGAAGACGCGGCCAAAGAGATCCCACCCCTTCTCGGGGGCGGGGCGAAAAGACTTTCTGCCCCGAAACCTCGCGTGGAGAGGCTCTTCCCGCTTAGTCCTATAGGCCGTTCCCAGTGCCCATAAAGAGCCATCCAAACCGGAAACCAAGTCTGCGGCTCGGCCTGTGCGAAACGGCGCGCGGGGGGCGTGTCCGCTCTACGTCCCTCGCGCTCGTCAAATGCGGCGCAGGCGCAGTTCAGCCCGCCTCCCTTTCGGAGAGCGCCGATTTCGATAAGCGAGATGCCGCCGGGCGGCTCTCCGTGTCGCGTGAGCGGCCTTTTCTCTTTGCTCTGCATGGCCGCCAGCGGGACGCGTGGCTCCGGGTGTTCGCTGTGCGGGAGGAACCTTGGGCTCTCCAGACAGCAAAAACCTGCACGGAGGGGGCGGCTAGTGGAGCAGACGCCGCCGGATGGAGTGCGCCGACTGCACAGCCACGGCCCCGCCGGAGACCCGGGCGTGCCGGCGAGGCTTCCTGGCGCTGCCGCCGCTTCCTTGGTCGCCCAGCGGCGTCATTACGCGGCTTCTCCCAGCAGCGGTGGCAGTAGTTGCGGCGTTGGAGAGCAGCCCTGCGGGGTTCCTGAAACCCTCCTGGATATCTGTCAGAGAAGGCATTTCCTCAGGGCACCGGCGGAGGGGGGGCAGCGGCTCAGCTGGGACGCCTTCCGGGAGGGAGCCCAGCCGGGCTTCGGGCCTCTCGGGGCGAGCTTGCGGAAGAACCTGGCCGCGCAGTGGTGGGAGTCCGTGGTCCTGTTCAGGGAGCAGGTGCTGGGAGTGGAAGCCCCGCTGCATCGCCCTGCACACGCGGGCGGCGCGCCTCCGGGCGATGCCCTCCGCGTGGTGCACCCGCGAGCCCTCCGCGAAGCCCTGGAGGGCGGCGAGTTGAGCGGGCAGCAGGCGCCCGCGTTCCTGCAGAAGACTGGGGTGCTTCGGGACAGTCTTCTGCACGGTAGGTTTTCTCGTTCCGGTTAAACAGACGCACGTGGCTGGGTTGTTTGTGCTTTAAATCTGGGGCGGGAGAAGGGACTTGTTGCGAGTCTGTATCTTAATAGAGGTTATGAAAGAAATCTGTGTTAGATTTTATTGTTAGAGCAAGCATATATTTTGGATCAGGTAGGTGATTTGCTGTAAGTTAGCTAGGTATTTAACAGCAAGTAGAAAATGGCGTGTCCCATGCACACCCTGTCCATCACCCTAAATTATGTGGTTGAAATAAAAAGGAGCGTGGAGTGACCAGATGTGGATTTTTCCCCCCGGAACTACTACAAATCCTTTCTGGTACTCAGTAGTAAGTCTTGAATTCAAACCATTTGTATATGTCCTTTGCACTAGCTTGTAGATGTTGGTGAATAATTAAAAAGGAGAAAATATTTCTCACAAGCCTGAAATCTGTCCACCCTTCTTTAGATAACCTCTGAATTTTTGGCTTAAATGCTGCAGTTTTTTTCAGGATGCCATGCTAGAATAGCATGACTAGCTATTAGGATTGTTGGCTGTGCTGAACTGGTGTAGAGAAAAAAAAGTTACAACTGTAACAAATGACTTTTTGGCTTGAAGTACCTTTTGCTCATCTTAAACTTAGTGCAACAGTTGCTAGAACATGTAGTTTTACAAATCTAGCAGTCCTTCTGAACACAGTTATATGGCTATGTTATCACTCACTTCTGGCTTTTTGGAATTTTCTGTATGAAGAAGGCGTAAAGGTATGTGATTTCTAACTGATCTCTGAAAATGCAAGCACAACAGATTTTTCAAACCTATCAAATAACATCCAGGAGAGGACCTTGCTGTATAGGATAGCGATAACTAAAAAGCTGTAGTCATAAGTGTACTGAAAAGTAAAACCTGTAGTTATTTTATCCTTGCCCTGTGTATATATTTTCTCCTTTTTTAACTGGGTTGATCTACAATAACAATAAGACTTGCATGAATACTAAAACCAAAATTTATTTTTTGATAGGTGCCTTGGAACATTATGTTGAATGCCTGGAATTGGTTAACAAGAGATTGCCATTTGGGATCGCTCAGATAGGAGTATGTTTCCATTCAGTAACAAAAAATGAAAAGGAGAATTACATAAGGTACAGTAATATAGGTTCCTACATTCTTTGTACAGTATTTGTCAGCAAGTGCTAATCTCTCTGTGCTTAGTCCATTCTGGAAGAAAAATTATCACTTGCATTTTCTTCTGTTTTAAATGTTAAGTTACTGTCCTCTTGCTACTCTTTAAAGCACAGGTGAAAAGACATTGGCCTCCTTAGTATGGTACAGCGCTGCCAGAACTGCTGGACAATGGCTTGACTATTGGCTACGCCATCGGCTACAGTGGTGGAGAAAGGTATTTATTGTGATTATTATACATACATTATATTTTCGTAATGTATAAAGATGTTGGATTGTCTTTTGCAGCATCTATTTATGCCCCTTACATTGCTACTGTGGGGGTGGGGAAGCTAAGTTAGCATTTTTGGGAAAAACATACATAGGCTATTGCCCCAAACATTAATTTGATGGTAAGTAAATATGAATTTAGCAATTAAGCAGTATTTTAGTTACCAAGAATGTGATTAATTTTAAAAGAAACAATGTCAAGAAGACAGTTCAAATTGGCGAATAGTTTTGCCCTTGTAGCAATTTCAGGCTTTTGTAACTTGGGAAAGAACTGAAGGATGTGTTTTCTGTTATTGTACCACAGAAGATCAATACCATGTATGAACAAGTGGCTTAGTAAAAATCATTGTGCACTAGTGACTTCTGCGGAATTGTTTGCAAGGTTTCTAAGCAAATCCTGTTTCAGTAAAGAGACAGAGTGCTTGTATTCTATTACCACAAGGTTGTATAGAATAGGTTGCATCTGATCTAAGTCATGTTCATTTCAGTAGATCTACTCTAAGGAAGACAAACATTGAATGCAACCTCTGGTTTTCACTTTATGTTCCATCTTGCTACATTGTTTTTCTTTCAATCTGTACATGATTTACCAGAATTGTAGTACTTCCTCAGTGAGGTCTCTTGGTTTCCACATTCCTAGTTTGACTTGAGAAAAAATTGAGGTATAGGCCTGCATTACTGTAAATCTCTAAGCATGTTTTCTCTGAAGTAAGTGTCCTGTGTTTATGGGTACCTACTTTTAAAATAATATTTAACTTGTATTCCACATTACTCCAAAGGACTCTGTATGGCAGCTGGTGAGAGCAGAGTCCCTCAGGGCTCAGTTCTGGGACTGATTCTGTTCAGCCTTTGTATCAGACCTAGAGAGGGGGTAACCAGTCTGCTGACCAAATTTGCAGACAGTACCAAAGTGGGAGAAGCTAGGCACTCCAGATCCAAAAGGATCTGGACAGACTGTGGAAGTGGGCAGAGGATAACAGGATGGTGTTCAGTACAGATAAGTGCCAAGTCAGGAATAGGTGGCATAGGTACAGAATGGAGGACAATGGGCTAGAGAGTGGCACTTGTGAAAGGTACGTTGGGGTAACTGTTGACAGCAGGCTAAACATAAGCCAGCAGTGTGACATGATGGTTAAGAGGGTGAAGCCTTGGACACTTAGCCAGAGGTGCGGCTTCCAAATCAAGAGGTATGCTGATACTGCTCTATAGGACTCTGGTATGCCCACACTGTGTCCAGTTCTGGGCTTCACATTATAAGAGAAGAAGGACATAGCAAATTTGGAATCATTTCAGCACAGGGTCACATTTATGGTGGCTGGATTGGAGGGGAAGCCATAGGAGATGAGATGAAGGGGACTTTTCAACTTGGAGAAGAGGCGACTCTGGGGGATTGTAGAGTGACTTACGGGTATGTGAAGGGGTGCCACAAAGTAGAGGGTTGTGACCTGGTCTTCCCTGTGGTGGAGGGAAGAACACAGTACAGCGGGGCCAAGCTAAAGGAACTGGGCTTTAGGTTGGATGCCTGGAAGTACTTCCTGGAATATGGAATGGGCTTCTACAGGAGGTGGTCGAGGGCCAATCAGTGAGGGCATTCAAAGAAAGATTGGACAGCCACATGTTGGACATTAGATGAACAAAGCTGACTTGTGCTGGGAGTCAGTCTTGATGGCCAAGGAGGTCCCTTCCGACTTCCTATGTTACGACGTTTCTATATTTCAGCCAGGTAGGCTTAGATTGCCAGAATTAGTCAATATGTCATGCTTCTGAACCATTCCTTGACATTAGATAGCATTAGGACCTTAATCTGAAATTGCAGGTTAATGTGTGTTCCAGTACTGAAGCAGCAGTATCAAATAAGCAGTTTTCAGCAAGATTGCAGCAGGAAAGGAATGAGTTAAACATCCCCTCCTGTCTGCTGGGAGCCTAATAATTATTTCCAAGTTGCAGCTGTTTGCATTTTTAAAAAAGTTCATGTTAAATGTAAGGACACAATAACACCTTTAGTTAGCCCTTGAAACGCAATAAAAGCACAGATAGGCCTGCCTGTATTTCTTCCAGCGTGACAATGAATCTTTCAAACTAAAAAGGCAGTCAATTTTCAGCTTCATAGGGCAGGTCCTATGATTCGTAGCCAGCACAGTCAATAGTGAGTGATGATGGGAGCTGTAGTCCATTTGTGCCATAGAGAATACGATTCATAATGCACATACCATGCTAATGATGAGACTGGAATGGGCATAATCTGTACACTCACATCTTTATATCACCTTTCTGTAGTTTGCAATAAGCCCATCCAACTTCAGCAGTGGGGATTATCATGAAGAAGGAAGAAGAAGAATCAATTTGTATTACAGCTTTCCTTGGGGAAAGGAAATAATCGAAACTTTGTGGATGCTAGGAGATAATGAACTGCTACAGATGTATCCAGGAAATGAATCTAGCTTGCATGTGAGTTTTAATAAAGAGTTCATTTAACTGAATCAGAGTTCCAGAACCAGACAGCTCTGATGGAATAAACAAGACTGTTTCCAAAATAGAGGCAATGGGTTAAGTTAGACATCACTCTTGCTGGGCTTTTTTGCCTTTCTTCCCACCTCCAGCCCTCCAAAGCTGTTCTGGAGAGTTCTTCATTCCACTAGAACAGACTTGGCGGGTGTTGTAGGGAGAAGGAAAATCAATTCCACCTTTCCATTTTGCAGATGTGTATTGTCTCCAGCCCATTCTAAACTGAATACTAAGGGTTTGTTTTTATGTTGCTCCTCTGTTCTGGGAGCTGAAATTCATGCCCATTCTCTAGTCATAGTCACTGGGTGGCACTGTCACAGCAGTAAAGCAGGTGGGGGTGAGGGGCAATTAAGTACAGAGCCTCTTTGGAAAGGAACAGATGAAATATATAGGCTGTGCTTCTCATACACTCAAGCTTCTCTAGAAACATTTTGAACTTATGTTCTCCATCTTTATTTTCTGAGACCACTTTAAATTGTGTCTTCATGGCATGATGCTGAAATAGAAGTGCTGCATTTTTTTTGAAGTACCTGAGTGTGCATCTTGATATTTCTTTTTCAGGGTCGAGATGGGAGGAAAAATGTTGTTCCTCATATCCTGTCTGTGAGTAGCGATCTGGACAGTGGAGTGTTAGCCTATCTCTGTGATGGCATGCAGTTGGCTGAAAATGCCTCAGCAAGGAAGAAAGTTTTTCAGAGAAAGGTGATCTTCCTCTTTGAATAATTAAAACACTGAGACTACCTGCTACTAAAACACAGTGACCACGTTGCTACACAGAGCTGAAAATCAATGCATTTAAGAATACACGAGTTCTCCATAGGTTTGTGTCTAGCAATGTATCTTTCTTGAAGATTTCATTGGTAATGCCAAGTCCTTGCCTTAGGCTTCCATTTATATGTGTTTAAAAATATACATGAAGTTTGAATACTGTCTTGTTTTTCTAGTTCTGAAATAATTGTTACTGATTTTCCTCTTGGGTTTTTTTTTTCTTTTTTGCAATGTTGCATTCAGGTACTTAAGCTTCACCCATGCTTGACACCATTCAAAGTATCTTTGGATCTGGGAAAGGGCCCCACAACAGAGTTGAGACAGGTGAGGTATGGAAGAAAGAGCTTTTACTTTTATTCCTCATGCAGTTGTTTAAATGGAGTCAACAAAACTTTCGTTTCATTTGGCTCAAACACTGCATCTGATCCTTTTGTTCTAGTTGTAATGGCAGACAAAAACTCTTCTTCTGTGTAACAGTACATCAGAATCTACCATTTGTGCTCTAGAATGTTTCCAATAATTTCATTGCAATAGGCTGAATCTAGTTTCACATATTGCCTTCTAATCCAGAGAAGGCAACTTGCTTGGAAACAAGTTTTCTTCTACCTTCCTCTTTTGACAGCAGCTTGCTGCATATGAGTGTCTCTTTTACAACCAGGTCATCTCTAGAAAGGTTTTACTTTTGCACTAAGAAACGTTTCCATCACTTATTAGTCACACAGGAGAAAGGGAGTTCTTGAATAGAGAGAGCACATACCTCCCAAAAAGAAAAGATGACAGATGTAAACCCTTCACACTACCCAGTGGAGGAGGGGAAAAGTGGATGCTTGGACCGAGTGTCCCCACTTCATTCTTACTCCATATATTTATTATGTATTATTTATTTTGCTCTCTCATCTTGCTACATGGGCAGAAAATTGGGAGCCCCACAGTGGGTGTGCTGTATTTCTCTTTCTTGGGACTGCAACCATAGAATTTGCACACATAGCAACAAATCATGAATGGAATTTCTCTGCTTCCAGAAAGTGTCTTAAATGTCTTTATGTCATTAATGTCAAACAAAAACCCACTCATTAAAGATTTGTTTCCATTTTTAATGCTTCAAGCAGGTGACCATATTTTTCTTTCAAAGGTGTGCCAGGAATTGTACAAGGAGTTGTTAGAAAATGGAATTTCTGTTTGGCCTGGATATCTTGACACCATGCAGTCATCAATGGAGGAGTTGTATGCAAAGTAAGAAAGAAACTGTGCTATGATATAAAACTCATTTAGAAACCAGGTATTAAAAACCTGGAGCTTTCTGTCAGGTCAAATAGTACATTTTCACTTGATTATCTTTTAAAGATGCCAATGTAATTACTGCAGTAATTATCTTGTCAAAGTGCGTTTGAATTGTGTTTCTTACAGTTATTCAGGTTTCACTTGCCCTCTGAAAATGATCAGGATTGCTTTCACCTAAAGTCCTACCTTAAGATTACTTTAGCATCAGTTGTCAATAAAACTGTCATGGATTTCCACACACTTTCTCAGCTATGGGCAGCTGTCCTAACCATTTTATGGCTGCTGTGCCTAGTCCACCAACTGGTATAATCCTGTGCTGCTGTTCTTAGATGGGAAACGGCACACACAATAATACCTTGGCTATATGCATGTGTGCACTTTGTCCTGTTCTTAAAGGAACAAGGATAGCATAATGGGGGGAGAACAGGATAGTAAATTATGGCTAGGAAAGAAATGGCAATTTACTATTCATCTGTTCTTGGAGGTAAATGGCACATTGCACTTATACAGTACTCTTAGGGCACAAACAACTAGGATGATCCTGTGGAGGTGAAAGGTGCCTCCATACGTCTCTCACTCCACAAAGTGCTTAGATTTGTGCTCTTTCGGCTAAGTATGGCACTCTGAAACACTTTGAATAAAAAAATCCTATGGCCATCTAGATGCAGTCTGGCAACCATAGGATAACATTGCCCATTGCTCCAATAAGAGGTTGACATTGTGAGTAAAACTAACAGGGTTAACTGTAGCAACACAGATCTTTGGAAGCAACCTCAACATAATAGTTGGCTAAATGAAAAATCCTCTTTTCACAAGAGGTAGTTAATCTCATAATTGCAAACATTTGTGGAAATTAAGAAACTTAGAAAAGTAGTATATTCTTGGTTTTTTTAAGTACAGCACTGTTCTCTAGTGCAGGGGTGGGTAGAGGGCAGGTCTGGATCTACAGGTAGATCTAGTGATTTGTAGTAGAGGGGCAAGAATTTCTGATTCTTATTAGTTAATAACAAACTGACTATTGCTGTGCCCTAAACCTTACAGAAATGAAGAAAGCTTGAGGGGATGGTAACCAGGAATTGAGTTTTATGTTGAAGAACAAGCAACTGCATTCAGTTCTGATATTCAAAATCTATTTATATACCATGTGTGTGTGAACACTTTCCAATAAACTGTCAGTATAATTTATGGTATGCAATAAAACTATAGCTGTTCTGGCTGGGTCATACCTCAAGGAAAGCATGAAGTGCAGATCTTAACTATACACCTGAGGAACAAAACTGAGGGTGTCTGTTGAATGTTGATCAGAAGTGTATTCCAGTGATCCAGTGACCCATTAAATATTCTGTGGTGAATCTCAGGATCATGTGCCATTCATTATCGCATCTACACCATCTGAGCACCACAGAGACTAGGTGCAAACATGAACAGCAATGTGCTCCCTAAATCAGTCTGGTCCCAAGTTGTCTGCAGCTTTATATTGTTAACAGCAAAACCTAAAACCATGACCCAGTGACTTACTGGCAGCCAGTGTAGTCACCAGAGGTATGACCTGTGCTGAAACGAGGCTCCATGAGCTTCATGGGCATGTTCTGTACTGGCTGTAGTTTTGGGGCCAAGTCCAGGGATAGTCCTGCAGAAAGCATGTTGCAGTAATCTAGAGTTGAGGTTACCGGAGCCTGCACCACTGTGGTCCAGGGATGGCTGTAGCTCATGAAAGGATGAAAGCTCTGAAACATGCTCCATCTGAGCCTCCAGTGACAAATGTGAGTTTAGGAGCTGTGCCACTCTATGCACGTGTTCCTAAAGAAAATGTGCAGACCCATCCAAGACAGGCAACTGTCCTGCTTCCCAGACTTCTGACTCACCAACACACAGTGCTTACGTCTTGCCAGGATTCAAACTCAATTTATCGGCCATTCATCCAGCCCCATGGTGCAGTGAAGTATCAGTCCAGAGCCTCTATAGCCCCAGCTGAATCAGGTGTTATGCCAAAGTATAGCTGGCTAGCATCTCAGTCCAGAACCCAGGTGATGTTTCCCAGCAGCTTCGTATAGGTCCTGCACATCACTGAACAAGAATAGTGTCCCACTGCATCTGCATAATATAAGTGCTTGGGGACTGAAAATTCCTGAGCTCAGAATTCTTGGACTGCAGGCTCCAGTTGGTGGATCTTGACATCCTAGTAAAAATTGAAGAAGATTCTGCAAGTCTCTCCGCCTCTGATGTAGCAGATTGTTAAAGCATATCTTTCTAATACAGAGACTTGTTCTGCTACTGCATATGGTTCACACTTGTTCTTTGTTTACAGGTATGATGAAATGAGTGTTCTTTTCACAGTCATGTTCACTGACACGACGCTAGAGAACGGTGTGATCCAGCTGAGAAGCAGGGACACCAGCATGAAAGAAATGATGCACATATCTCGATTAAAGGACTTTTTAACAAAGTATATTTCAGCAGCTAAAAATGTCTGATATAAAGTCAATAAAGACAATTTTTTAAATCTTCTGTCTGAATAGTTCTTCCCTACTCCTTACAGTGAAAGCCAGGAAGGCTGAGCTCTGATGCCCTTCTTTGTTTGCTGTGGGCACTCACTGGGAGCGTGAGATAGGATAGTAGCTGGTAGAGAGGGAGATGAGCCCAGCAAATGGAAGCCCACATTCACCATGATGTTATAGGACCATATCTCAAGTAAACAGGAGTAAGCAAGCCAAATTATGCTTCTCTTCAGAGATTGCCATTAACCTAAAAAAGAACTACTCTGTCACAATATATTAGCATCTTTAGATAGAAAGGATTAAAGTATTGTTGCTCAACGCATCTTGTCTTTCTCTGTACCACATGCTTGTCGGTTATGGGTGGGTTATGTCCAGTTACACTGCTATCAGCTGAAAGTGAGGCATTCCAAACTGTACTTTGCCAAATTAATTGTGTCCATTTGCAAAATAAAAATGTATAAATGACATAATCTGAAATCTCGTCTGTATAATTAGTTTTGCATTCTGTTTGTGCAAAAAAGTAAGTCCATTGGGAAATTAGTAAAATTGCTATTTGTTGCTTTGATTTCTGTTGGTCCTATTCAGATTTTATTGAAATCACACAGCAGATTGGAGACAAATTAGTTACAGGTAGTTTAGAACTCCTGGTAAAAGCTGCTTTGTTTTTGATTGTATTATGATGAGAGGACAGGTATCAGGTCTGAGTTCTGTAGAGACACAAAACCAGAGGTAAGATCTTTTAAAATGAATATTTCAAAGCTACAATATTGGACAGTAACTAATATAATTGACCTATTGCACATTAAATTATGTTTACATGATACAGTTAGGTGGATGTTGAGGCAGCGACTGCAGGAATTTATTTGTAAGACATGCTGTCTGAAATTTTGAGAAAATAGAGGTCTTTACTGACTCGGCATTCATAGAGGATATGAGAGTACTTGTTTTGTTTAGAATTTGTTATGTACCATATCATGGGTTTGTTTTCCAAGATATTGCACAGGATTGGAAACTGATTTGAAAGATACTCCTATGGTATCTGAGATGCTCTCTCAGGGGCCATAGGATAGCATGGGGCATGAGGAGGTTAAAATTGGGCGGGCAGGTCAGAAGCAGCTCAGCAACCTGGGCCTCTTTGTTTCCTGACATGTCCTGGAACTATACCAGCCTTCAATACCGGCAAGTCAAGTCTTGCCCAGTGGAGGTAATGGGAGTAGGGAAATGGCTGTTCCTTCTACCTTCCACCATGGGTAAAACAAGCTTAGGAAATGGCAGTTCCTAAGTGTCATAATAAACCATATTTTCCTTCAGAGCAAGTTAGTTCAAGCATTGATGTAATGCTAAGTCATGATCTATAGCTAGATCAAGCTTTGTACAATCCAGTTAACACAAATAAGTAAACCTTTGTGATTCCTGTTCAGTAGGGGTGGAGAACCTAGGGAAAAAACACACAGAAAAGGTCTCCCAGGCCATCTAGTCTGACCCCCTGGCTCCTGCTGGCTCTGCTCATGTAATCCTAACATAGTCCTAGTTGGCATTGGCAGTGGTGAGGGCTTATGGGAGTTATGGGACAAAAACATCTTAAGAACCATAGGTTAAATAGGTTCTTGCTCAGAACCTCCCATGAGCTGTGCTACTACCTGCCTTTTGGCAGCATAAGAAGAACTGGCACCTGCCACCTGAAATTGGTGATAAATTGCTTCAATGGCTTACTAGGAAGGAATCAAGTTAAATTTGTAATTAATAAACAGTTACAATTTGTGGCCAATTTTCTTCCCTGACCTTTTGGTGGCAGCAAGTGCTACAGGCATCCTTGCTCTATAAAGGAAGAGTGGCATGAACAGAACAAAAAGAAAAGCCTACCTCTTTTATCTTCTGATGATAACTTCAGCGTAGGTCACTGTAGATTCCTCACTTTGGATGACTAGAGCAATTAGAAACAGGCAATGTGGGTAAGTATAAAGAAAGTGCTGTGGATGGGACTCTAAAATTAACTTTTGGATCTTGGTTGAAAGATCCTTGGGCCATTTAAGAACTGCTGCACATGAAGTCACAGAACTATTCAGAATAGGGACATAGAAATAGGTTCCTCTACTTTGTTGTTTTGGGTAGGTACCTTTCAACTTCTTTTGACCTTAACCTTCCAAATCCTAAACTTCAAACTTCATTCATTGCAAGCTCAGTTATGGAGAGCTCTCAATTGCAGCTTTTAAATTGTCCTTTTATTATTAAAAGTAACCATTGTATGCTATATTGGTACTGGCCATGAAAACTTTTAAATTATTCATATAAAAATTCCAAAATCTAGAGCGAATGGTATGTCTATCAGTCTATGTTTTCATTCAACTTTTCTGTTTAGCCAGAAATGGATTCTTCTTATTTGACTTGAGCCTAGAATCTACTCATTTGACTTGGGAAGTACCGCTAAGGAGGAGTCATGAGGCTAAGGGTACAATCTTAAGCAGGTTTCCTTCAACCACTTTCATTTATCGTCTTCATCCCACATAATGAAGTGAATTTTTCACTCCAAGCTCAATTTTTGTTGTATAATTTTCATATAAACAGTCCTATAGTCTAGTCCAGGGGTCAGCAACCCATGGCTCTGGAGCTGCATGTGGCTCTTTCAGCCCTCTGCTGCAGCTCCCTGTTGCTCAAAATATGCATCACAACCGCCAATGTGCGACACCTGCCGGCATACGATTTATTGAGCTTTTTGACCACCGGTAGGCCAACCATGGATAAATCCAAGAAAAAAACGGTTTCAGAAGAAAACAGAACATTTAATGATATGTGGGCAGATTCATTTGCTTTCACTGCTGACGAGACTGGTTTGCCAGTATGCTTAATATGTGGTGAGAAACTGGGAAACAACAAAAAGTTGAATGTTGCAAGACATTTCCAGAATAAATGCACAGCCTTTGCTGAAAAATATCCGGATGGAGATGAGAGGGAAAAAAAGCCATTTCGGAACTGATACAGAAGGTTGATCTGAGCAAAAATCATCTCAAAAAGTGGATTAAGTCTGCAAATCCAACTCCATATGCTAGTTTTGTGGCCACTCAGGAAATAGTCAGGCACGGGAAGCCGTTCACAGATGGAGATTATATAAAAGAATCATTCACTGATTTCATAAATGCAACACACTATAGTTTTTTATACACAGCATAAAAGTAAAAAATGATCTATACAGTGTTATCTTCATTTTAGATATCAGAAGGGTTTCACCCATTCCTGTCCATTTAGTTCAATGATTCCTAAGATGTCGATGTTCAGTCTTGTCATCTCTTGTCTGACTACATCCAGCTTGCCTTGATTCATGGATCTTACATTCCAGGTTCCTATGGAGTATAGATCTTTACAGCATCGGACTTTCCTTTCACCACCAGATACATTGGCAACTGAGTGTCCTTTTGGCTCTGACCCAGTCACTTCATTCTTTCTGGTGCTACTAGTACTAGCCCTCTGCTCTTCCCCAGTAGCATGGGGCTCATCTTCCGGCGTCATATCTTTTTGCCTTTGGTACTGTCCATGGGGTTTTCATGGCAAAGATACTGGAATGGGTTGCCATTTCCTTCTCCAGTGGATCATGTTTTGTCAGAGCTCTCTGCTATGTCCTGTCCGTCTTGGGTGGCCCTGCACAGCATAGCTCATAGTTTCATTGAGCTACGCAAGCCCCTTTGCCACGACAAGGCAGTGATCCATGAAGGAGCTAATCTCCCAGTTATCAAATGGCTAATCTCCCAGTTATCTTCACTGCGAGTAATCTATCACTAGGTCATCTGCTAGCAATAGAGGGTGTTTGAGGATTGTCTGCTTCTGGGTACAGGCTTAATTGGGTGTCCTTCAGAAATGAAAATCCTATAGAAATAGAGAAGTGTGTGCATGCACTCACAGATACTTGTGGGAAAGTTTCTCTTAGCCAGTGATGAAACAGTCAAATTAGCAGTAGTGTGATTTTGACTGTTGGTATCCTTGTTGTAATACCACCTACCAAAATATCCATATGTTTGTTTCACTAGATTTGTTTTTCTCAAGCAAACACAGTATGCACACAATGGTTTGTTCCACTTATAGAAGACAAGACAGACTTTACCATTTCCGTTGTTTTCCATATTTGCCATAACGTTGAAATACACAATTTCTTCATTTTTTCTGTACGCTGAATGACATGCAAGAGGAAAATGCATGAAAAAGTAAGTTAGGTGGCATTTCTGGTCTGCATAAGCCGCCATAAGTGGAAATAAAACTTTTCAAACTCTATTGATCCTGCCAATTTACATGGATTAGCATATATTTGTATATGCTATGTCAGAATTCAGACTCTTAAAAAACCTGTACAGTTTCAACCAAGCAGAATTTGCAAGTAGCAAGCAGAATTAGCCTAGCTTCTTTAAGACATTGTATTGGGAGAACAGTGAACAGCACAGGGAAATACTGGCAAATTGTTTTCATCAACAAAAACTTTGAAAGATAAATTAAAAACACTAGTAGCAAGGTGCTTACCCCAACCCCTCCTGCCAAAAATCTATTTATAAACTTTTGTTCAGAACTCTTTAACTGTGGCTGTAACATGTCAGGGCAGGAATGGATGTGTTTTTTCCCCAGGTTAACTTTCTCCATCTAGATATACCACAGAGGCCATTTTTAATGATGCCTTTGCAGAGTGATATAATCAAAAAGTGATATGCAATTAGTGCTATGGAAAAAATAAAATAATAAATTGAAACCCCTTTAAAAAAGGACTGTTATTGTTAAGCCTTATTGTTTGCTCATTTTACAAATACGAAAGCCATTCTTACCCTGATCCCGTTGATTTTCCCACCAATGTGTTGTATTTGCACAGCTTTCCCTCACAATGTATTGGCATGGAGCCTTTGATATGGGGTGGGTACAAAATGCCTCATGCTACATGAGCTTAGAGCCACGCCTCCCTTATCTTATTGCAATGCAGTGATAGCTTGTGCTCTCTCTTCTCAGCTACTGAATGCTGTTTGCCAAAGCTGCTCATCTTTGCCACAGCCTTAAAGTGCAGTCAAGCACTTTTGCTGCAGGGGAAGGGGTTAATTCTCCACAGGCTGAAAGGGTTGGCTGTCTAGCCATCCTGAATATTTCAATTTTTGATACTAGAATGTGTATCTTTGTCATTCTCATCATTACGGCCAGAAAACAGAACTAGGAGAGCATCACCTCTGCTTTCACCAAGTTTTGAACATACTCATGCCTGATGCTCTGTGTGGGCAGGAAGATGTCAAAAGACATTGGAGAGTCCTGTAACTATATTCCTGACAGGATAAGGCTGGGAGCGGTCACTGATTTCCTCGCAGCACCCTTTTAAAGCTCAGAACAATTCCCCCCACACAGATGCTGTAACAATATTAAAATGTGCATGCTTTATCTTTAAAGAGTAAATTCCTCTGGTGTTACCAGTATCGTCGTAAGTTGGACAGTTTTCTGAGTCTGGGTAATTTGCTGTAATGGAACGAGCAGATGCACAGGCCTTCCTTAGTTTCCCTGTAAAAAAGAAATGAAATCCCAGTGATGGGAAAAAATACATTCCTGTTAAATACTGTTTTGTTCTCTGTTACAAAGCTGTGTCTTTGGGCTCCAAATGCAGGAGCCATTAATTCATTTATTTCAATTCTATTCACACCACTCTCTTGTATATCTTAAGCTACAGAAACTAAGATCCTTCATTAAAGTAGGCTGAGGGACAGGGAGTAATCCAAGAAACCATTTGTGCCATTTTGGAAGTGAATTAAAACGATTGGGAGCACACAGAAGGTACAAGAGCCATGCAGAGCGAAACTGCCTTCTCGTGTAGTCCCTATCTTGCCTGAAAGACTCAGTTATCCTTACAGCTGGAACATTTGCTATCATGTTGCCAGTGCCAATGTGCCACTCCCTATTTATAGCAAGACGAGGCAAAAGGGGGCATTTTTGGCAGCAACCCTCAAATCAATGACAGGCCGGTTGGAACTTTCATCTTAGGGCCATTCTCCAGTCAAGTTCACTGGGTAATCTGATTATGGGCCCATATAGGAGACAGTACTAGGACAGGTGTGGAGTTGTGTTTTTCTTAGCAGAAATAACTCAAGTGGTGATTGCCTATTCTTCTTCCAGAGTACTATTTACCACTCGTGTCAGCAGCAAAATTCTTTGTCATATCCAGCAAGGGGAACAAGCTATGGATCCTACCAGTAACAGGCTACAGATACTGACTTGATCTTTGGAGGGGCAAGCAGGAAGCTTTCTAGAATTCATAGGACACAAAATGCCTCTGAGAAAAGGAGCTCCTTATTGGTCATACTTACTTGCTTTACGCCGAAAAAGGATCAGCAGCAGAATTGCTAAACCTATTATCACCAACACCAGCAACATAAGTGAAAGTAACACGATGGGTACTCCCACATTTTTCTTCTGTTCTGTCAGTGGGAGAGAATATATTTATATGAATGCTAGGTAAACAAAATAGTCACAAGCTCCTGATTTCTTGCAAAATGCAACCTGCATGGATCTGATCTGTTGGTTCTGGGGTACCTCCCATGCTGAGGCCATTTTATCCGGAGTAGCTCAGGATTTCATGGCCACCATGACAACCATGGAGCTGTTTCAGCATGTTGTCAGCCCAATGCATATTAAAGGTCACACTCTAGACCTGATTTTCTCAACTGGACAGGGATATGGTGATCTGGCAGTAAAGGGATTAACATCAATCCCTTTGTGATGGACAGATCACTTCCTTTTGATGTTTAGGGTTTCAGCCCCCTTTTCCCCTCTGCAAGGGTGAGGAACATATTAGAATGGTCTGCCCCCAGAGGCTAATGGATCCAGATGGTTTCCAGAGGGCTCTGGGGTGTGTTCTGGTTGATATGGACTGGATGAGGGCTAATAAACTGAAACGTAATCCAGATAAGATGGAGATACTGTTGGTGGGGAGTCCATCTGTCTTGCCTGTCCTGGATGGGGTTGCACTCCCCCTAAAGGACAGGTATCACAGCTTGGGGATGGTTCTGGACCCTGAGTTATCCCTGGAATTCCAGGTAGATTCGGTGGCCAGGAGCATCTTCTATCAACTTAGGCTGATATACCAGCTGCAGCCATATCTGGACAGGCAGGGCCTGGCAACAGTTATCCACACACTGGTAACCTCTCATCTAGATTATTACAATGTGCTCGAAATGGAGCTTCCCTTGAAGACGGCCCTGAAACTTCAATTGGTTCAGAACAGAGCAGCCATATGGTTAATGAGAACTGGCAGATATGACCATATATCTTCACTGGCTCCTAGTTGAGGTCTGGGTCCAATTCTAGGTGTTAACACTGGTGTTTAAAGCCCTAAACGGCTTGGGACCAGGGTATCCATTCAGAAGGCACACCTCTTCCTGTATGAGCCCACCTGGCACCTTAGATCTGCATCTGAGGCCTTTCTGAAGGGATCCCCTCTTCAGGAAGGAGGGTTGGTAACACAAAGTAGGGCCTTTTCTGCAGTGGCACCCTGACTCTGGAATGAGCTCCCCAGAGAGGTCTTCCAGGCACCTTCTTTACAGTCTTTTAGGTGCCAGGCAAAAACTTTTTTATTTCAATGGTATTTTAATTGTTAACTTGTTTAAATAGAATTTTAACTGAGGGTATGTCATTAATGAGGGGCATCTTATATTTGTTTTAATATTTTTATTCGTAATTTTTGTTTTATTTTATATTTTTCCATCCGTATTTTATTCTATTTTGTATTCTTTTTTGTATTTTATTGCTGTAACCTGCTCAGGGAGCCATATGGCTAATGGGGCAGGTTAGACATGTAATAAGTCAATAAGTCTGTCTTGGTGAAGTTGAGCACTCCCTTTAAAATGCAATTATCTCCTTTGATACGATTCTGTTTTCTTGCCAGATTTCAGTGCCTGACCTGGCACCCTCTCAAATGTTTGATATTAAATGAGGAATTCCAATCAGCACTTCTCAAGAGCATACCTAAAATCACAACTCTGTTTCTCACTTCTGCAAAATATACATACCTCTTAAGGTAAAGCTGAAACCAGAACTGTATCTGCCTTTGGTAGTATTTGTTTTGCATTTATATTCACCCAGTTCATTGATGGAGTTGATAGTGAGGTTAAATATAACTTTTTTGTGTGTCTTGCTCATACCTCCAGCATGTGTAGATTTATTTAAAAATAATACAAAGTTAATTGGCAGACAACTGTTTGAGCTGCACTCTATTGTCACATGTGCACCTAGGGTGGTTTCTGATGAGGGACTGAAGATGTGGGGATTCCTCTCAGGCTCTGAGCAAGAAGTATCCTCAGGCACTCCTGCAACAAAGAGGGAAGGTCAGTGTTCAAATGTCTCCTTGCAAGAGGCTGGATGGGTTCATGCTTCACAATAGCCTGCCCTGCAAATAAGCTATTCTGTGTAGGTTATTCATTAAACAGTCCACAGCACACCCAAGAAATGATCACATTCAGAGAGGGTTATCCTCCCTGCACTTCACGTTCCCTTCATCTCCCCGGTGGGTATCCCAGAGAACACATCTTGTCTGCCCTCCCCATTGCTTTTTGCATCACCAAGGCATACCACTAGAGGGAGTTGGTGAGACGGTTGGACTGGGTTCAAGTCACCCTTAAACATGACACTCACTGGGTGACATTGGACCACCCACTCATTCTCAGCCTAACCTACCTCACAGGGTTGTTGTTTTAATATAACTTTTTATTTTCTTAACATAAACAAATGCAGAAAAAAGAAAAGCACATACAAAACAAAATAGGCTAGAATAAACAAGGCTGCCAAGGGAATTTTAAACAAATGCAACCAATACATTCAATCCCCCAAATTTATCTATCTTTGTTCATTCAGCACTATATGGGAGTTCAGCAAAGAAGTATTAATCTGCAGATCAACAAATCTTCCAATTGCTTCAAGTCCTCTACAGCTTTTTTCCCCTTAAAAAAAAAAGACAACCCTTCACATCCCATTAGTCATATGGAGTGTAAAAAAATCGCATTTGTCATTAAACTCTTCTAGTGCTCTTCTGTTTACCTAATTGGTTAACTTTGCCATCACTGCATGTTTTGCTAGCCTATTTTTCCATTATTCATTTGTTGGGGGTTCTGATGCTTTCCATTTAGAAGCAATTGTATTCTTGCTGCAGTTGTCATATATTTAGATAATTCTGACCTATTCTCACAGGGTTGTTGTGAGCTCTGTAAGCTGCTGTGGGTTCCCCACAAGAAGAAAAAAAGGTGGGATATAAATGCAACATAATAATAGCTGAGACAAGCCCAAGTGGCACATGGAGGTGTTATCAGTGGTTTATCACATCTTTAAACAAAAGTGCAATGCCTTTTGTATATTCTCAAAATATTACATTAGCTGGGCTTCCACAAGGGTCTGAGAGGGTGTGCTTCACCTGGGCCATGTCCTTAAGGGATGGGTTGTCAAAGAGCAGCAGGGAGCTGCCCCAGGTATGGACCCTGAAGGGATGCAGAGATTTCTTTTTCACACTGCCTTCTCTTGGCAGCTGTCAAGAGGCAAAAGAAGTAAAGAAGAGCAACCCTCGTGTCCCCTGGGTACCAGCTGCCCCTGAGCCAGTCAGCATTACCTCTGCCCTAGGAGTGCTGGTGTACAGTAGCTTAGGGGTCTGACCATGTACTAAGAAAGCTTGGGGGGGAGGGTGCTGTCGAAGCAAGGCATCATCAGACTCAGTCCCATTCCTTCAGAGGGTGGGCGGGGGAGATAGTTGCCTGCTCTAGAGGACTGCTGGACCTGTTGCAAAGTCTATTACCAACCATGCATCCTTGGACAGCCTTACATGGGAAGGGGTGGTTCGAAAGATTTTAGGAGAATTAAGGAAAGCCCTGCTGGATCAGACCGAGGATCAGACTGAGTCCGGCATTGTGCTTACCGCAGCTGCCATCTAGGTGGAAGCCCACAAGCGAGCAGGTCATAAGTGCAAGAGACCCCCCACCCCACCCTTCTGCTCCCAGCAGCTGGCATCTTGAACCAAAGGAGATTATGAGGAGCCCCAAAGGGAACTCTCCAAGCTGGGAGACTGGGTATCAGAATGGGCAAATGCAGCTCAATGCTAGCAAGTGTAGAGTAATGTATGATGGGGCATCATGTATACACTGATGGGATCTGAGCCTGCAGTGACTGAGCAAGAAAGGGATCTTGGGGCAGCCGTAAATAGCTTGACGAAAGCGCTGGCCCAGTGTGCAGCTGTTGTGAAAAAGGGAAACTCCATGCTGGGCTTAATTAGGAATGGAACAGAAAATCTTACTCCCCTTATACAAATCTTTGCTGGGATCTTTCTTGAATACTGTGCTCAGTTCTCGTTGCCTACCTGTAAAAGCTGGAAAAAGTACAGAGGAGGGCAACAAAAATGATCAGGAGCTGGATCAACTTTCTGGTGAGGAGCAGCTACAAGTGGGACTGTTCAGCTTAGAAAAAAGGCAAATAAGGGGATACATGATGGGGCTGTTTTTAAAAAAAAATGTATGGTGTGGGAAAAGTTGAGAGGGAGGCACTCAAACCCAGGGCCATCACATGAAGCTGACTGGTGGGAGGTTTAGGGCAGAGAAAAGGAAGCACTTCTTCCCAATGGAAAGATGCCATCAGTGGAGTCCCACGGGGTTCTGTATTAGGACCAATGCTTTTCAACCCATTGATAAATGACCTGGAATTAGGAGTAAGTAGTGAAATGCCCAAGTTTGCTGGTGACACGAAACTTTTTAGGGTGGTGCAACACAAAAGGGGTTGTGAGGAGCTCCAAGAGATCTCTCCAAGCGGGGAGAGTGAGCCTCCAAACGGCTCGTTGAAATGCTGCCCAATACCAGCAAGGGTCGAGTAATGCGTGGTGGGCAGCTCAGTGAACTGGCAGCCCAGTGCTCAGCTCCTGTGAGGAAGCACTTCTTCACACAATGTATAGCCAAACTATGGAATTCGCTGCCCTGGAAAGTAGTGATGACCATCCATTTGGATGGCTTTAAAAAGGGGATTGGACAGATTCATGGAGGAGGAGGAGGCTGTTAGTGGCCACTAGCCTGGCCGGCCGTGTGCTGCTTCCTTCAGCAGAGGTGGCCTGCCTGCGTACACCAGCTGCCGAGGGGCTGGGCAGGCGGAGGTCCGGCGCCCATCCTGCGTGAGGGATCCTGTGGGCAGCTGGTCTGTCGCTGTGTATGGAGTGCTGGACGGGATGACCTTTGGTCTGATCCCGCATGGCTTTTTGTAGGTTTTTATTTTCTTATCAGGTGGCAGCTCTCACCATGAGGGCCCACGGTGAGATAGCATGGCCAAGAGCCACAGGTATTTCTCTCGTCTCCTTTGTGAATTTAAGACCCCCTGCAGAAATATTGAAGTGTTTGTCAACGAATCTTTTTAATTTCGCAAAGCAGCTTTGAAAGTGTGGAATTTGGAGGCGGAGGAAGAAATACTGAAAATTCCCCTGCATGCAGATTCTCTGACAGTTTGCTGGTTTGATTTAAAGCAGATGACTGGGATGGGGGAAGGGAGAGGGGAGTACCCACACATTCTGTTGCTGTTCCAAATATTTAATTCCCAAATCAAATTAACTGTTTTAGGACCATATGTAATGAAAAAGGAGCTGCTAAAAACTATATCCAAGGTCAGATCTACTTAGGGTAGATCTACTGAAATTAAGATGACTTCATTTCATTAGTGTTTCATTTTTATAGGTCTACTCAAAATAGGACTTATATTGGATACAAACCATAGTCAACAGCAATGATCAAAACAAGGCAGTGTTATAATTGAATAATAATTATTTATTTATTTATTTTTCGATTTATATCCTGCCTTTTTCCTACAAAGGGCTCAAGGCAGCTTACATCATTCTCCTCCTCCATCTTATAATTGTTTATAAATAAATAAAATTGTTTCTATTTTGCTCATCTGCAATGTACTCAGAGTAGCTTAGCACTAGAGACACAGATATATAAATGTAACCACAGAACCCATCCAATATCTTCTATGACTTAAAAATGTAATGATAAATTTTAAAACCCAATCCAAAGAGAAATCCCCAAGTAGCCAGTTTAGGTTTCTTTACGCCCCAATGCATGTTTCAGATCAAATTTAACTGCTGGTACTGTTTCTGCACAGATATTTGTAACTTATAGAAACACAAGCAATATGAATTATATTTGGGCATATACTCAAATCAAGCCTCTTTACTATGGTCTATTGAACCCATTGCATACACTAGTACAATATTTAGCTTTAATCTTACAAGTATAAACACAAGGAGAAACATACCTCTTTTACCATCAGCATCACATCCCGTGATTTGTAGACATAAATGAACTGAAAGGAGAAAATTAGTTGATTCAGATGGCAACATTCTGGACAAATGTACCATAAATCATTAGAATAGTTTTTACCGAATGCTAAAAGAAGAAACATCATGCCCGGACCTTTAGACATCTTAAACAGGAATGCAGAAGTTGGTTTGCAGAGCTGTGGTTATATCAGAGAAGTTTTGCTTTAAAGAAAGTGTTGTGCAATATGCCAGTGTAAGGAAGTTGCTCTGGAGGAAAGTTGCAGATGTTTGCGGAGAAAATTTGTAGTATGTCAGTGCTCTGTCTAGTTTCTCCTCATGAGAGATGCAGACTTGCCATCTCATGTTTGGGGTGTAAGCTCTGTGGGTTTTCACACAGTGGTTTTGAAAGCTTTTGAGACAGCCACACTTCCCATGCAAATGGAGTTACAAGGCCTTGCAACTCCAATTGGCCATTTTACAGATATGGGGATGGAGGAATACGGATCGCTGACAGAGCAAATGGGTGCAAGACAGAAGTGAGATTTCTAGGTTTGAAATGAAAGGAAAGGAGCAGCAGAGGGGAAAGTGATGTAGATCTCTAAGGCAACACAGCATATGTAGGTGTTATACCATGGGTCCTCAAACTATGGCCTGCAGGCAGGATCCGGCCCACCATGCTCATTTATCAGGCCCGCCTCAGAGCTTTCGGACTTGCTCCGAGCGAGTCCGAAAGCTCTGAGCCGGTGCAGGTGTCAGAGAGCCAGCGCACGGGCCAAATTGTTACAGTTCAACTGTGAGTGTGCTGACTCTTCCCCGCCATTGCATGCATATACAGAGTGGGAATATGGAGTGGGAGAAGAGAGGAGGCCAGAAGAGAGAGAGAGATGAAGAAACTAAAAAAGGATTGAAGGTTAAAAAAAAATGACTTTTTAAATCTATTTTTAATTATGTGAGCCATGTCCCTGGGCTGCGGGCCAAGCTGCAGCTACCTCACCAAACCCAGGGGAAGGACAGGCTGAGGCGGAGCAGGGCTGCGGCTCCCACAGCTCCTTCTCTGAGCAAGCCACCGTTGTCGAGCGGCTGCCATGCTTTCCGTCCCTCGCCTCTCCTCGCCTTGGAAAGAAGCCCTTACCTCCCTCCTCACGGCCCTCTCCTGGCCAGGGAGCAGCCCTGCGCTCACCTCTCTGGCCTCCCACTCCCTCGGAACCCTCCCTCGGCAAGGACTATAATTTCCATCATACCTAACAAGCATGGCCAATGGAAGTTGTTGTCCAACTCATCTGGACAGTACCAGTTTTGGCAAGGTTGCACTTAAAATATGGTAGTTGTTAGCTCTGCATCCAAATACAGCCATTGTGTATTGTGGGAATTGTTCTGGACTGACTTGCTTCAAATACTAAGAGTGGCATTAACAGTATTTATCCTTAGTATTTTTGCTTCATTCTTTGTAAATACCAGTTGCAGTCATCAGCTGCATTATGCAAAATGCTATATTTAGTGACAGTTGTGTTGTAGCTATGTCCCTTGAATATGGACATGCTCTTCCCCACCTCATCCTGGGGTTCTGCTGCAGCCCGAGGGAGTGGAGCAAACATTTTTCAATTTTTAATTAATGTTTTAATTAATTTTAATTTTAATGTGTAGTGTGCATCGGAATTTGTTCATATTTTTTTCAAACTATAGTCTGTCCCCCCAACAGTCTGAGGGGCAGTGAACTGGTCCCCTGTCTAAAAAGTTTGAGGACCCCTGTGTTATACAGTAGTATCCAGGGTTACCCCTATGCAGAGTAGCTCCGTTGACATGAACGGGGTTAAACAGAACTTTGGTTCATTCTCTCTAGGGTTCACATTGGATATTTCCTTTGACAGAAGCGGAATGTTCCAGTCCAACTAACTTCGTTGTTGTTGCTCAATTTCTTAAATAGCAGAGAGGCAACACAATGGCTATGTTCCCACATAACGCTACACCAAACCACACGGTTTCCATGCAGCAAGTTATCTCACCTTGTGTCTTGTGTCCGCACATTCATAGACTTATAGAATAAGTGAGTTGGAACAGGCCAGAAGGCCATCGGGTCCATCCTTTTGCTGTTGCAGGACACAATTTATACCATCCCTCTCACGTGGTAGCTGCACATGATACACGCTCCAATGGCAGCATGTATCCCATTAGCCCCTGTGGCTGGGAATCGATCCCAGGGTGCACTATTCCACCCCACTGACCCTCCACTCTGTGCCCATGCACAAGGATGGCCACACACCCACACCTCTCCCTGCTCCCGCACTGCACATGTGCCGGTCACTTTCTCCCATACGCCGGCTTTGCACTCACTGCCAGCACCTGGGCTGGAGGGATTCCTGATCACCAGTTCTGCTGCCTGGGGCCATGGGAGTTTGAGTACAAGACATCTGGAGAGCAGCAGATCAGGAAAGGCTGCCTTAGCACAACAAACCATCAAGTTGTCTGCAAAGCTTTCTACAGAGTGAGTGTAAGAAAAAGGGACAGGGTGAGACTCAAGGACAGAAGATGCGATTTCACTGCCGCACAATGTCACAGAGCCGCATTCACAGGCAAGCGGGAGGCACTGGTAGGTTTGAGGGCAACCCCACTAAGATTTGTCTCTGCTCTCAGTTTGTTCACCCCATACTGCCTTCCCCCACTGACAGCAGCAAATTGAGCAGCTCTGCTCTTTCTAGCTCTGTTCTTATTTATTGCAGAATATTTAAAGCACACCTCCTGATACAAATTCCGGAGCACATGTAGTTCATTCACCATATTGGAGGGGACTGTGTTTAAAAGTGCCAAAAAGTGTTAATACAATTGCAAGAACTTAAACCTAAGGACTAACCAAGTTTAGCCATTGTGGCCCAGTACCAAGAGTGAGTTGAATCAGAAATTGAGGGCAGCAATTCTGGAGCTTAGACTAAAACAACAACAACAAACCCAGCTCAACCAATCGATCAGATACATAACAATGTACAAGAGATTGGTGTGAGGGTGGTCTTTATCAACTTGGGGAGAGAGAAAAGGCAAGAAAAGACTGACTTATGTTTCAGGTGTGACAAGTCATCTCCAGCAGCTTTTGTTTGTTTTCTTTCACAGGCACCCAAAGGCCTGATGCTGGTCTCAAGGGACCTGCATCCAGCCCATCAGGTTGTCCCCCTCTGTCTCCAGGGCTTGTGCCTGTTGCCTCCCCGGGCCAAAGCCTGTTAGTTCCATTCTCTGCAAAGATCAGAGAACACTCTTGTGGAGATTACATATAACACCTGTCCCCTGCTTTCTCACCTGGTCTTGCATGTAGCCTTGGGGAGGGGAGCCTAAAGACAGCATGGGGAGGGGTGCATTTGGAGGTGAGGGAGGTGTTGCTTCCCCACCCCTAAGAGTGTGGTCCTTCTGTCCAAATCTTATCGTTCTATGCTGGATGGCCTTCGATGCAAGTCTGGTCCTAAAATGGCCTGTCTGCAGTTGCATGATAGCTTCCATGGACATAGAATCCATGACTGAGCAGTTGCTTGCCTGCCATGCTGTCTGGGAGAGGCCAAGCACAAATATCACATCCAATTAGGTTGCATTAACCATTGACATGCTGCCACTGAACAGAACAGGGAGCAAGATACCTGGTCGATAAGTATGCTGGTACAAAGAATAAATCCAGCAAGTTAAAAGCAGTTAGCAAGAGCAACTGTTTTTGAAAGGAGACCAATGCTGCCACCTCCCCCACCACTGCATTTTGTACTGAAGTCAAAATAAAAATAGCAATTGTTTCAGTAATACAGGATGAATCATCCCTTAAGTGGAACAATGTCAGATTGTCAGAAGATCACCTTGGAAGCGTCTTTACAGGAGGGACAGTCAGCTTCTCTCTGCAGTCTGTATACAAATTACAATGCAGGAGGACCTATTTCTGTGTATGGAAGGAAAACCTAAAAAACTTGGGTAGGAGGAGAAATCAGTTCCCGAATGTGTGCATGCTACCAAAATTAATTGTAGTGATTTTTTTAGCCGTTGTGCCAGCTGCCATTTAGAAGGTAACTTTAAAGAGGACTGCAAGGTCAATGCGCCACCACACAGATGCCTTTGTGGATGCTAGGTAGCCCACACCCTGTCTCCGGCAGCAGCATCACCAACTGTGGTTGTTTCCTCACTTGCGGCTACTGCCAGCCACTGCCAAGCGCACAGACCTATGAGTCAACATCAGGATACGGCGGCGAGAAGTCCTCATTGTTCCATTCTGTATCTCTGTCCTTGTCACATGCCCCTGCAACTACTCAAGAAGTGGAAGCAAAAAATGACCACATCTTACTTCAGTAGCTGTTACTGATTCATCTGCGGAAATATAATTATGGCAGCAAAACAGCTGACCTTCTCGTAAAGCTTCTGTAGATAAACAAAGTGCCTCTGAGCATTTGCTGCTTAGAGACAAGTGTATTTATTACAGCATCGGTGTTTTCCAAGTATCTTGCACTTCAAATCAATGCTGAGCATTTAGATAACAGTGGTAACTATGTACAATGACGGTGGATCTTCTATTAAAGCAAAGACTAACAGAAGCAGTAATCCCAAAATGTAACACTTGCCGAGGAAAGATTCATATCCTGCCGGTACTGGTTGGATCATGTTAAGACATTATTGGGTGGGCAGTTGCTTGCTCTGCAGTTTCTAGGGCAGCCCCATGTAGAGTGCATGGCAGCAGTCTATCATAGAGATTGTCAGAGTGTGGCTTATCAAAACCAGGCTACTCCTGTTCATACAGAGGCATAGTTGGACCACTAGCTAAAGCTGGTAAAAGGTCCTCTGTGCCACCAAGGACGCCTGAATCTCAAACAGGAATGAGCCCACTCCTTCAAGGGGAGCGCTATCCCTTCCAGACCAGGTTGGACAGCCTCCACCTGGTCAAAGGGACCACCGACTAACAGCATCTCAGTCTTGTCTGGACTAAGGTTCAGTTTGTTAGCCTGCACACCAGGTGTGCAGACCAGGTATGTTACCTGCCCACCAGGTATGTTAGGCAAACCTGTGTTTACTCATACTATAGGAACTACTGGCCTCAGCTGTTGAGTAGACAGTGGTTGACTGATGCTCCATGAACGTTGCCTGGGTCTCTACCCACAATGCAGCCCTAGACAGATGTGATGGTTCTTGAAGTTCCACAGTAATAGTTAGCACCAGGGTCAACAACAAGTGTGTTTGTTGCATTTATGTGGTTAACAATGGAAGCAAATGCTAAGCACATAAGAACATAAACACAGCAATGCTGGATCAGACCAATGGCCCATCCAGTCCAGTACTCTGCTCACACAGTGGCAAACCAGCAGCCAAGATCCCCAGGATGGAAGAGTTCTGCCTGTCTGAGCTCCTCAGCAAATGGTGCACAAAGCCAACAAGGCTAATAGCCATTGATGGCCCGCTCCTCCAGGAATGTGTCCTATACCCTTTTCAAAACCATCCAAATTGATGGCCATCACTACTGCCTGTGGCAGTGAATTCCATAGCCTAACTATGTGCTGTGTCATGGACAACTTCCTTTTATCCGTCTGAATCTCCTCTTCTGTCCTGAAAAATTCCCATTACTTTTCAACCAGTCAGATAAGCTGCACAACATGGGACCTAACCATTAAGGAAAGAGAAGATTTCACTTAGTGAGGGGCAAGTTGAAAGCAATATATTGTGTTTTCTGCAAATGGCTTAGCCAAAAAAAAAAAAAAAAAAAAAAAAGGGGGGGTGAACTAAGTCATATTCAACTTTCTTAATGCCTAAGAAGAATCAAGAATGGAATTGCTACTACAGCTTTTAGCAGTAGCAGCAAAGGAAGCAGAATGAGTGCTACCCAACTGTTCTTTCTTCTTGCTTCTGGGTGAGAAGGTATCTATATGAATGTTAGGCAGTGATGGATGACTTTCCTGCCCAATG